ACCTCCCTATCATGTTAATAACCCTAGTCTCCCCCCAAAAGTACATGTTATAACATTCCCAACTTGTCAACTTTCGATGAAACATTATTTTCTTCAATTCCTTTAGCTTCTAAACCTTCCAACCCTCTTTGTACTTGTTGGTCATGATCTTCAATATATGTAATCTCCATGGTAACATGATTAACTTACTTTATATACTTTCAAATATGTTCTCATTTTTGGTCCTACATTAGTTTGATTACGACGCACTTTTACGTACGAAAATATAGGCTGTAACATCATTCCCCCCGTGGGAACATTTTTCCTCAGATGTTTACTCTTAGAGACTTTGGAAATTATTTTTGCAAGAGTCTCCTCCATACACATGACTAAAACCAACCTGCACGTAGCTAGAAAACATACTATACATGCCACACATGGCCAATGTCTATAAATAGCAACACTTGGCCTCATACGACCGTCAATCATAAATACTAAATGTCAAAAATAAGAGCTTACTTGATGACCTAATGGCTTGAATAGAGATGTGCTAATATATCCCATCTCGAGCCATATCTTTAGTTTGAAATAGGTGGGGGTATTTGGACTTCATTTTTTCCTCCGCTTCCCACGTCATCTCTTCCACATTCTTGCTTCTCCATAAAACCTTCACGGAGGCTACCTCCTTATTTCGTAGCTTGCAGATTTGTCAGTCTAGGATGGAAACTGGAACTCCTCGTATGACAAGTCATCCGTAATATGTACATAATCAGTGGGAACCACTCGGGTAAGATCGCCAATGCACTTCCGTAGCATAGATACGTGAAAAAATGGATAGACAAACTCCAATTCCGAGGGCAATTCTAACTCATAAGCTACTTGGCCCACTCTCTGAAAAATCCTATAAGGCCTAATATACCGTGGGATAAGCTTGCCTTTCTTGCCAAACCTCATCACGCCCTTCATAGGCGACACCTTTAGGAATACCCAATCATCAACCTCGAACTCTAAGTCTCATCGCTTCAATCAGAATATGACTTATGACGATTTTGGGCTATCAATAGTCGCTCCTGGATAAGTTATACCTTCTCCACGGCCTGCTGAATCAAGTCTGGCCCATGTAACCTAGATTCTCCAACATCAAACCACCTTATAGGAGATCTGCACATACGCCCATACAAAGCCTCGTACGGAGCCATCCGGATACTGGAGTGGTAACTATTATTATATGCAAACTTGATAAGAGGTAGATGTTCATCCCAACTTATTATAAAATCCAACACACATGCTCATAACATATCCTCGAGCGTCTGAATTCTGCGCTCGGCTTGTCCATTAGTCTGTGGATTAAAGGTTGTGCTGAGATTCACTAAGTCCCTAGACTTCTCTAAAATGACCTCCAGAAATGTGTTGTAAGCTAGGCCCCACAATCAGATATAATTGATACTGGTACACCGTGTAGTCGCACTTTCTCCTTAATATATAACTTCGCATAATCTTCGGCTGTATATGTAGATCTGACTGGTAGGAAATGGGCTGATTTAGTGAGCCTATCAACTATCACCCATATAGAATCGCACTTACGATGAGAATGATGCAAACCTATGATGAAGTCCATGTTTATCGCCTCCCATTTCCACGTCGGGATCTCTATAGTCTGCATTACCCCTCCGGGCTTCTAGTGCTCTACCTTCACATGCTCGAAACTAGGACACTTGGCGACAAACTCAGCAATGTTCAACTTCATATTGTTCCACTAGTACAGATCCGTAATGTCATGATACATCTTCGTCGACCTAGGATGAATGGAGTACCATGAATAATGTGCCTCTGACATAATCCTGTCGCGTAGCACTACTACATCTGGAACACACAGACAACCCCTATATTTGAGAACCCCATCTCCCTTGAGCTCTAACAATAGCTTCTTCTGCTGCAGAACTCTCTCTCTCAACTCAACCAACTCTAGGTCCTCGTACTGCCTTTCCTTGACTTCAGCTATGAGAGATGATTTTGAAGTGTTTTGGAGTACAACTCCACCATCGTCAGAATCTACTAACCGAACCCCCAAATAAGCCAATAGATGAATCTCTCTAGCTAATTATCTTTTCTCAGCCTCTACATGTGCTAAGCTACCCATAGATTGTCGACTTAAGGCATCTACTACAACATTAGCTTTCCCTAGATGGTAGAGAATGTTAATAACGTAACCTTTCAATAACTCTAGCCATCGCCTCTGTCGCAAATTCAACTCTTCTTTCTTGAAGATATATTGCAGGCTTTTATGATCTATAAATACATCAACATGAACACCATATAAATAATGTCGCCATATCTTAAGTGCATGGACAACCACAGCAAACTCGAGGCCGTGGGTCGGATAATTCCTCTCGTGCTTCCTCAACTACCTTGAAGCATACGCAATTACCTTCCCATGTTGCATCCGGACACATTCTAACCTGACAACTGAGGCATCACAATACACGGCATAACCCTCTGGACCCTCTAGAAGTGTTAGAACTAGCGTTGTGGTCAACCTATTGTTAAGATCTTGGAAACTCCGCTTGCAAGCCTCTATCCACTGAAAAATAGCTGCTTTCTGAGTCAGCTTAGTCAATGGTGCCGAAAGGGAAGAAAAACCATCTATGAACCTCTGATAGTAGCCTGTTAAGCCTAGAAAGTTACGAACCTCTGTCGGAGTGGTAGGTCTAGGCCAGGATTTCACGGCATCAATCTTCTGAGTGTCTACCTTTATACCTTCATCGGATACAATATTCCCCAAGAATGCTACAGACTTAACCAGAACTCACATTTAGAAAACATAGCATACAACTTATGATCACGGAGGGTTTGGAGTACCACTCGTATGTGATCTGCATGCTCCTCCTCTGAACGTGAATAAACCAGAATATCATCAATAAATACTATCACGAACAGATCTAAAAATTGCCGGAATACTCTATTCATCAAGTCCATAAATATGGCAGGTGCATTCGTCAACCCGAAGGACATGACAAGGAACTCGAAGTAGCCATATAGGGTCCTGAAGGCTAACTTCGGAATAACTTTCTCCCGAACTCCGACTTGGTGGTACCCCGGCCTCAAATCTATCTTTGAACCCTACAACCTATCAAACAAGTCATCGATCCTTAGAAGTGCATACTTATTATTAATGGTTACCTTGTTCAGCTGCCTATAATCAATACACATCCTCAGCAAGCCGTCTTTCTTTCGCACAAACAGTACTGGTGCACCCCAAGGTGAGGTACTAAGTCTGATGAAACCTTTCTCCGGCAAATCTTTTAAATTCTCCTTCAAATCCTTTAATTCGGCAGGTGCCATTCTATATAGAGGGATGGATATTGGTTGAGTTCCTAGAAGCAAATCGATGCTAAAATCAATCTTTCGCTCTGGAAAAATACCTGGAAGCTCATCTAGAAACACATCTGTGTACGCTTTGACTACTGGAATAGACTGAAGTGTAGGTATCTCAGACATCTGCATCTCTAAATCACACAATATGATAAATGCACCCTTTTGTGATCATTCTCCTCACCTTTAGATAGAAAATAAACCTAGCTCTGGGTGTCACTGTATTACCTACCCATTCAAGGAGTGGCTCACCCGGAAAATGAAATATGGCTACCTTTGCTCGGTAATCAATTGTGGCATAGCAAGCTGCCAACCAGTCTATGCCCGTGATAGCATCAAAATCCATCATCTCTAGCTCAACTAGGTCGGCTGAGGTCTGATGACTACAAACTGTCACCATACAACCTCGGTAAACTCGTATAGCAATAATTGGTTCTCTGATCGATGTAGATACCGCAAAAGGATCACTTAGTATTTCAGGCATTATACCCAACTTCCCCGTGACAAATGGGGTAATATTCGATAAAGTAGATCATGGGTCTATCAAAGCACAAGCATCGTGAGAGCCAATGGTCAATATACCTGTCACAACGTCTGGTGAAGACTCCTGGTCCTGTCGACCCTCTAAAGCATAGATACAGTTCTGGTTACCACCTGAACTGAAACCTCTACCTCTGCCTCGACCTCTACCAGCCGAAGACTGAGACTCACGCCCTAAAGGATGCACGAACATAGATGATCCAGTTGCTCAACTCGCGAATTGTGCCATACCCCTAGAATATCTATTTGGGCAAGCTCGCATCATATGCCCTAGATGCCTACATGTATAACAAGCATCAGAACCTACTTGGCATTGGCCCAAGTGCCCTCTACCACAGATGTCACACCGCGGCAGAAATGACCATGTCTGCCCTGAACTTTGGTGTCGCTACAAACCCGATGCCCGTGAGCTCTCACCTGGTCCTGACTAAGTATGGCGGTCATACCTATAACCCTTTAACTGAGGTGGCGGAGGCCTAGGTGGTCGTCCGAAGTACTGGGGCCTTTAACTACCCTGAGACTGCTCCTGACACCTGGCAAATCTCATACTCTTAAGGTGCCTAGCTTAGTCCTCTCTGTACCCTGCTGCCGATGCCTACCCCTTTCTATATTCTGGGTGAATGCCTAAATCCGGGAGATATCCATACTATCCTGCAATACAGCGGTGGCACATGTCTCAATCAACCCTGGGGCCAAACCTGCTATAAACATGTGGATCCTGTCCTGCATAGTAGCAACTATGGGTGGTGCATATCTGGCAAATGAGTCAAAATGGAGACTATACTCTAGGACACTCATATTTCCCTTCTTGAGGGCTAGAAATTGATCGACTTGAGCCTGTCGGATCTCCTGCGATAAGTACTGGTCAAGGTGCATCACGCCTCCTGGACCTCTCTCATACCTCGTACCAAATGATGGGTATATCTCGGAGTCGATAAGATGCTAGCTCAACTGCCTCTTCCTCCGTGGCATGCATAACCAGACGGGTCCTCCCTCTGATCTGTCCCCGTGAACTCTGGGGGACTCAAAGCAATAAACTCTTGGACCCTTAAAATCCCAGACCCCTCAGAAGATCCTGCACTAGCTGATGCCCTAACCTGTTTCTAGGTAGCTACCAACTGTGTCAACAAATGCACCGCACTCCTCAAGTCCTGATCTGATGGAAGTGGAGGGGGAACTGGATGTACGGTATCCTTAGGAATCTCCTTAGGTGGTGGAAGAGCCGGTAATGGCTGAGTAAGGGTCTCGCCATGGGCCTTAGACTGGGCCCCATCTACTAGGTGTACCCTGCTGGTCCCCTCACCTGCTGTTGTATCTCTCCTCTGGCAAGCCGTAGTCTTCTTAGTCACCGTCATCTGTGTATGCAAACACCAACACGTAAGTTTAACTCAAATTTCCTGTAAATAAGTTCTACAGCACAATTTAGATGTGAAAGAAGGATGACCAACTCTTAATGCCCTGTAGTTCCCTACTTATATAATATGGTGCATAACACATCTATAAACAAGACCCTACTAGATATGGCTTGTAGACTCCATAGGATAGAACTGCTCTGATACCAAGTTTGTCACGCCCTGCACCTGGGGGCAAGACCGACACTTGGTGCCTCACTTAACCTAGCGTACCAACTTAAGACTGAGGGGCTCTGAACATACAATGTCATACTTTGGCCATGGGGCCACAGTGCAAGACAATTTGCGAAGCAAAATATAAAACGGAATGGAAAGTTGGGCCGACAAGGCCGTCATAACTACTACAACTGACAAACCAACAAAATATACATACAAACCTTTCAAGCCCAACATGCTGCACTAACTGACAGGATATGTCTACAAGCCTCTACTGATGGAAGTACTGTGATCGGAACCAAGCCCCGACCTACCCATAACATATATACATATATACACAATACGTACACAAATCCCTAGACCTGGCAACTCCGAAGGACGTGGCGCTTACCGATCAAGCTGAACTCGAGCAACACCTACTGAGGAGCTCTACCCGTTTTTCTATCTAAACCTGCACGCACCCCAAAAATGGGACGTCAGTACGAAATAATTATCGAGTATCTAAGACAATAAAATATCTTAAAGCTGAAACTGAACAGATAATATAATACCTGAAAGTAACTGGGAGTCAAAGATGATCTGGAGATATACTTACCTGCTGATACTGACTTAACTCTCTCAATATAGTAAGTAAAATAAATGTCCAGCCCTATAAGGCTCGGAACGTGTAATTGCTCGACCATAGTAGGCTCGTTCATAAGCGCTCGACCATACTAGGCTAGGTATCTCGTNATACTGTAACTTATGAGACTAGGATAATGTACATAAGTTCAGGAATACGAACTTCTCTTTATGCTTCATTATCAAACTTATGTAGTTACAGGATCATTCCAAAATGAAGAAAGGTTTAGCCTTAACATAACTTATCACAATCATTCTAATCACCAAGTTGAACTCGCCTATTCACACCTCAATCTAAAATAACGATAATAATACTATTATTAAGTTACGAAGGGTACAACTATCGCACAACGAACGACAAGCTTATTTTGTATTAAATCGGGCAGCATCTCCCATATAATCCTTACTTCCTCCAAATTCAAGATAATACCAACAACACAAGCACACAACAATATCAACATATATAAATTATTTTCCAATATTATATACATCACAAAATACTACAAAACAGCCCAACACACCCTAATCTCTTCATACACAAAACGACAACCATAGTAGTGTCAAACAGTAGGAGATATCAAAAGAAGTCGTACGTTCCTTGTGATATCGACCCGGAGTACTGCTCAATTTTCTTTGAGATCAAATATATTATAAGGAGGTCTGCATCTGTAACAATCCGGCCAGTCATTTTGAGAGTATTAGCCCCGAACCCCCTATTTATTGCTCTCTCTATGGACTTTCGGCGGTTCCACTAGCTATGTATGGTGATTTTGGTCTTAGGAGCGTGTTCGGATACTGAATTCGAGGTCCGTACATCATTTTAGAGTCAATTGGCGAAAGTTGAATAATTGGATAATTTTTGAAAAGTTTGACCGGGAGTGGACTTTTTGATATCGGGGTCGGATTCCAATTCAGGATGTTGGAGTAGGCCTTTAATGTCAATTATGACTTGTGTGCAAAATTTGAGGTCAATCAAATTTGATTTGATAGGTTTCGGCTTTGGATGTAGAAGTTTGAAGTTTTAAAGTTCGTTAGACTTGAATCGATGTGCAATTCGTATTTTTAGCGTTGTTTGATGTGACTTATAAGCTCGACTAAGTTCGTATAATGTTTTAAGACTCGTTCGTATATTTGGTGGAGGTCCTGGGGGCCTCAGGTGGTTTTCGGATGGTTAACGGATCAATTTGGACTTGTGAGAATGGCTGAAGGCACCAGTTCTGGTGTAATCGCACATGCGCAACATTGATCGCATGTGCAAGCTCGCAAAAGCGAGCATTTGGGCGCAGATGCGGGGATGGGGGAATTGCCAGTGGTCGCAAATGCGACGTGAAGGCCACAGAAGCGGAGTCGCTTCTACGGAAGAGTGATTGCAGAAGCGGACAAGTGCTTGGGAGGCCTGTCCGCAGAAGCGGACGAGCTTGCATAGATGCGCACCTGCAGAAGCGGTCTTTGAACCGCAGAAGTGGAATTTAGCAAGGAAGCCGGGACTACAAAAGCGGCTGGGAGGCCCGCAGAAGCGAGTCCGCAGGAGAGGATGAGGAGTCCGCAGGAGCGAGGGAGTCCAAAGAAGCGGATAAGTTGTCGCTTCTGCGATTCCGCACATACGGCTAAGTTTTCAGAGAGGCGGAAGTGCTGGACAGAACACTTAAATACAAGGGTTTGTGATTTAGCTTTATTTTAAACATTTTGAGCTCGGGTCTTGACGATATTTTAGAGCATTTTCGAGGGATTTCTTGAGGTAAGTCTCTTGTACTCATTTTTTATCAATAATATTGTTTCCCGGTTGATTTTTCCACCTAGTTGTGTGTGTTTAAGGTAGAATTTGGGAGTTGAGGTTAGGAGTTTTCTTATTTAAGACCAGTGTTATCATCATGATAACCAGTTGCACTAGGACTTGGCTCGAAACCTTTCATAAATAAAGATGTCCCAGCTTCTTTCAGCTTGGCATCGTCGTGGTAGACAAATAGATTAGGCCTTGGTTCAAAGGCTTCACCTCCAACAAAAGATAATGCGTAACAATCAGTTTTCTCTTTGGAGAGAAGAACTGAATGCCGAGGCATAAGATGTTTGATTGTTTCAGGCATTGGCGCATCTTTCATCACAATTCTCCAGTATTCTCCAGGATCTTTTCTTGCATCAATGGTGCTTGTGCACTGCCCGAGAAAGAGAGAGCATAAAAAGATTTTTGAATATATGCTATATGAACTTCTTACGTTCGAGTACAAAATCTATATATACTGATATGAGCAAATATTTGGTACATGCAGGGGCAAATGTAGGCTTTAATATATGGGTTTGAAAGAAGCCAATAATGTTTGACAAAATTTTATGTACGTATCAAGAAACTCAATAAGTATATACATAAATTAAATTCAGAACTCAGTTATTAAAAGTTGAGATCGTCCTAAAATAAAGAACCCACAGAGTTCTAATATTAGATCTACCTTTGTAGGAACCGGGTATGTAAATATTTTGTATTGGCAGATAGAGTTCTATGTAAAATTCTAGTGCATTTTGAAGAGTAATTTGCAGAAAGTATCTATTCTTATTTACACATGTTTGATGGGGATACGCCAAGACAAAAGAATGGTCCGTTTAAATAGTTTTTGAAAATCTCTGTGCCCAGTCAAATAGGTTTACATAAATCAGAAGAGCTGGAGTATAAGTTAAATAATTCAATTGTTAAAATCTTATTTGAAAAGACAATGTAATTCGAAAGGTAAGGCAAATGAGAAAGAATTGCAAGATAGTGCACCAAAAAAGTAATTAATAATAAACCACAAATAGGAGGCCTAGAATTAATCATCTGCGAAAACTTACCAGGGCAAGTGCAAAGAGCAGGATTAGAGTAACAGGCGATTTCATGGTCACTTCACTAGGAATATGTATGGCTCAGAAGCTATTGTTATTGTTCTTTACTTGAAGCATATTATGAGCTTATATAGACAGGTCAAGCTATTATAAAATCATATTGCAGGTAACAAGTTATTGTCAAGCTTCAACATAATTCACACACTTTTGTAGGATTGATGAGAGAGGTACAATAATCATAAACAAATAGGAGGAGGCCCCAATTAGATTTTTGACACATATATTATTGGTGACCAAATAATTTAAGTAGGCTCCATTTGCTCATAAGTAATACTGTTGCTTATTCACGTTTTAGTGTTTGCAAATATTTGGCAATCAATACCCTGGATATTGCTTTTCAGTATCTAAGGTAGTGGTGAAATATTGAAAACATTTGTTAGACTGATGCTAGATCATTCCTAAGATATCCATATGAGTTCTATTTCTATTTTTTTGTATTTAACTATTGCAGTATAAAATAACTTGCTTCAAATAAAAAATACAATGAGAGATGATTTATACAAAATCAATTTGCTATATATCGAAAGTAGTTATACTGTAATTTAGGCACATGAATAGAGTATGCTTACCTCGAAAAATCCCATATACTGTTGGGATATTCACAAATAGATCAAGACTTCAAATATTGCCTTTCTCAAAGCAAAAATAATCAAGAGACGTTCTTTCTCAAGATCAACTCAAAATGTGGTTAGACATTTTTTGACAATCAAATAATTCAAGAAAATCAGCATTTAGCCCTCGATTGTTTCCCTCGATTAAGGAAACCAGTAGGAGATATCAAAAGAAGTCGTACGTTCCTCGTGATATCGACCCAGAGTACTGCCCGATTTTCTTTGAGATCAAATATATTATAAGGAGGTCTGCATCTGTAACAATCCGGCCGGTCGTTTTGAGAGTATTAGCCCCGAACCCCCTATTTATTTCTCTCTCTATTCATTTTGTGGTTACGTAACTTGCCGGGAGGATTTGTTTTTGATTTTAGAGTGAAATGGGACATAGAGTCCCTAAATTTGGGAGTTTAAGTTGTAGAAATTGACAGTAATTTGAACTGTGTGAAAACAGCCTCATAATGAACTTTCGGTGGTTCCAATAGCTATGTATGGTGATTTTGATCTTAGGAGCGTGTTCGGATGTTGAATTCGAGGTCCGTAGGTCATGTTAGAGTCAATTGGCGAAAGTTGAATAATTGGATGATTTTAGGAAAGTTTGACCGGGGGTGGACAATTTGATATCGGGGTCAGATTCCAATTCAGAAAGTTGGAGTAGGTCTGTAATGTCAATTATGACTTGTGTGCAAAATTTGAGGTCAATCGAATTTGATTTGATAGGTTTCGGCGTTGGATGTAGAAGTTTGAATTTTTAAAGTTCATTAGGCTTGAATCGATGTGCAATTCGTATTTTTAGCGTTGTTTGATGTGACTTATAAGCTCGACTAAGTTCGTATAATGTTTTAAGACTGGTTGGTATATTTGGTGGAGGTTCCGGGGGCCTCGGGTGATTTTCGGATGGTTAACGGATCAATTTGGACTTGTGAGAATGGCTGAAGGCACCAGTTCTGGTGTAATCGCACATGCTCAACATTGATCGCAGGTGTGAGCTCGCAGAAGCGAGCATTTGGACGCAAATGCGGGGCTGGGGGAATGGCCAGTGGTCGCAAATGTGACGTGAAGGCCACAGATGCGGAGTCGCTTCTGTGGAAGAGTGATTGCAGAAGTGGACGAGTGCTTGTTAGGCCTGTCCGCAGAAGCGGACGAGCTTGTGGAGATGCGCACCTGCAGAAACGGTCTTTGAACCGCAGAAACGGAATTTAGTGAGGAAGCTGGGACTACAAAAGCGGCTGGGAGGCCCACAGAAGCGAGTCCGCAGGAGTGGATGAGGAGTCCGCAGGAGCGAGGGAATCCAAAGAAGCGGATAAGTTGTCGCTTCTGCGATGCCGCACATACGACTAAGTTTTCAGAGAAGCGGAAGTGCTGGACAGAACACTTAAATACAAGGGTTTGCGATTTAGATTTATTTTAAACATTTTGAGCTCGGGTCTTGGCGATATTTTAGAGCATTTTCGAGAGATTTCTTGAGGTAAGTCTCTTGTACTCATTTTTTATCAATAATCTTGATTTCCCATTGATATTTCCACCTAGTTGTGTGTGTTTAAGATAGAATTTGGGAGTTGAGGTTAGGAGTTTTCTTATGTAAGACCAGTGTCATCATCATGATAACCAGTTGCACTAGGACTTGGCTCGAAATCTTTCATAAATAAAGATGTCTCAGCTTCTTTCAGCTTGGTATCGTCGTGGTAGACAAATAGATTAGGCCTTGGTTCAAAGGCTTCACCTCCAACAGAAGATAATGCGTAACAATCAGTTTTCTCTTTGGAGAGAAGAACTGAATGCCGAGGCATAAGATGTTTGATTGCTTCAGGCATTGGCTCATCTTTCATCACAACTCTCCAGTATTCTCGAGGGTCTTTTCTTCCATCAATGCTGCATGTGCACTGCCCGAGAAAGAGAGCATAAAAGGATTTTTGAATATATGCTATATGAACTTCTTACGTTCGAGTACATAATCTATATATATTGATATGCGCAAATATTAGGTACATGCAGGGGCAAATGTAGGCTTTAATATATGGGTTTGAAAGAAGCCAATAATGTTTGCCAAAATTCTATATATGTATCAAGAATTTCAATAAGTATATACATAAATTAAATTCAGAACTCAGTTATTAAAAATTGAGATCGTCGTAAAATAAAGAACTCACAGAGTTCTAATATTAGATCTATCTTTGTAGGTACCGGGTATGTAAATATTTAGTATTGGCAGATAGAGTTCTATGTAAAATTCTAGTGCATTTTGAAGAGTAATTTGCAGAAAGTATTTATTCTTATTTACACATGTTCGATGGGGATAGGCCAAGACAAAAGAATGGCCCAGTCAAATATGTTTACATAAATAATTCAATTATTTATATGTTATTTGAAAACACAATGTAATTCGAAAGGTAAGGCAAATCAGAAAGAATTGCAAGATAGTGCACCAAAAAAGTAATTAATAATAAACCACAAAAAAGGAGGCCTAGAATTAATCATCTGTGAAAACTTACCAGGGCAAGTGAAAAGAGCAGGATTAGAGCAACGGGCGATTTCATGGTCACTTCACTAGGAATATGTATGGCTCAGAAGCTATTGTTATTGCTCTTTGCTTGAAGCATATAATGAGCTTATATAGACAGGTTAAGCTATTATATAATCATATTGCAGGTAACAAGTTATTGTCAAGCTTCAACATAATTCACACACTTTTGTAGGATTGATGAGAGAGGTACAATAATCATAAACAAATAGGAGGAGGCCCCAATTAGCTTTTTGACACATATATTATTGGTGATCAAATAATTTAAGTAGGCTCCATTTGCTCATAAGTAATACTGTTGCTTATTCACGTTTTAGTGTTTGCAAATATTTGGCAATCAATACCCGGGATATTGCTTTTCAGTATCTAAGGTAGTGGTGAAATATTGAAAAAATTTGTTAGACTGATGCTAGATCATTCCTAAGATATCCGTATGAGTTCTACTTCTATTTTTTTTTGTATTTAACTTTTGCAGTATAAAATAACTTGCTTCAAATAAAAAAACAATAAGAGATGATTTATACAAAATCAATTTGCTATATATCGAAAGTAGTTATACTATAATTTAGGCACATGAATAGAGTATGCTTACCTCGAAAAATCCCATAAACTGTTGGGATATTCACAAATAGATCAAGACTTCAAATATTGCCTTTCTCAAAGCTGAAGTAATCAAGAGACGTTCTTCCTCAAGATCAACTCAAAATGTGGTTAGACATTTTTTGACAATCAAATAATTCAAAAAAATTACCATTTAGCCCTCGATTGTTTCCCAAGATTAAGGAAACCAGTAGGAGATATCAAAAGATGTCGTACGTTCCTCGTGATATCGATCCGGAGTATTGCCCGATTTTCTTTGAGATCAAATATATTATAAGGAGGTTCGCATCTGTAACAATCTGGTTGATCGTTTTGAGAGTATTAGCCCTGAATCCCCTATTTATTGCTCTCTCTATTCATTTTGTGGTTACGTAACTTAACGGGAGGATTTAATTTTAATTTTGGAGTGAAATGGGACATAGAGCCCCTAAATTTGGGAGTTTAAGTTGTAGAAATTGACCGTAATTTAAACTGTATGAAGACGACCTCATAATGGAATTTCGGCAGTTCCAATAGCTATGTATGGTGATTTTGGTCTTAGGAGCGTGTTCGGATGTTGAATTTGAGGTCCGTAGGTCATTTTAGAGTCAATTGGCGAAAGTTAAATAATTGGATGATTTTTGGGAAGTTTGACCGGGATTGGACTTTTTGATATTGGAGTCGGATTCCAATTCAGGAAGTTGGAGTAGGCATGCAATGTCAATTATGACTTGTGTGCAAAATTTGAGGTCAATCGAATTTGATTTGATAGGTTTCGGCATTGGATGTAGAAGTTTGAAGTTTTAAAGTTCGTTAGGCTTGAATTGATGTGCAATTCGTATTTTTAGCATTGTTTGATGTGACTTATAAGCTCGACTAAGTTCGTATAATGCTTTAAGACTAGTTGGTATATTTGGTGGAGGTCCCGGGGGCCTCGGGTGGTTTCTGGATGGTTAACGAATCAATTTGGACCTGTGAGAATGGCTGAAGGCACCAGTTCTAGTGTAATCGCACCTGCGCAACATTGATCGCAGGTGCGAGCTCGCATAAGCGAGCATTTGGGTGCAGATGCGGGGATGGGGGAATGGCCAGTGGTCGCAAATGCAACGTGAAGGCCACAGAAGCGGAGTCGCTTCTGCGGAAGAATGATTGCAGAAGCGGACGAGTGCTTGGGAGGCCTATCCACAGAAGCGAACGAGCTTGCACAGATGCGCACCCGCAGAAGCGGTCTTTGAACTGCAGAAGTGAAATTTAGCGAGGAAGCTGGGACTACAAAAGTGGCTGGGAGGCCCGCAAGAGCAGATGAGGAGTCTGCAAGAGAGAGGGAATCCAAAGAAGCAGATAAGTTGTCGCTTCTGTGATGCCCCATATACGGCTAAGTTTCAGGAGAAGAGGAAGTGCTGGACAGAACACTTAAATACAAGGGTTTGCGATTTAGCTTTATTTTAAACATTTTGAGCTCGGGTCTTGGCGATTGTTTAGAGTATTTTCGAGGGATTTCTTGAGGTAAGTCTCTTGTACCCATTTTTTATCAATAATCTTGTTTCCCCGTTGATTTTCCCACCTAGTTGTGTGTGCTTAAGGTAGAATTTGGGAGTTGAGGTTAGGGATTTGGAGAGTTTGATTTCAGGATTTGAGGGTCGAACTGATGTTGGATTTTGGTAAAATTGTTATGGTTGGACTCGTAGTCAAATGGGTATTCGTATTTTGTGACTTTTACCTAATTTCGAGACGAGGGTCCGGGTCAACTAAGTTGCCTTAGCATGTGTAGCTTTCATGTTTAGTCTAGTATCACATATCTACGTGTCTTAATCTTTGCTTGAAATTCGTGCAACATGCTTAGTTGAATTACCTGTTTCCTTGATTTTTGTATTTGGTCTTTAACTGTAGGAGTCCTTGCCGTAAATTCGTGGTTCCATAATTTATGATTTGCATATTTACTAGTGGGGACTATGAGGCAGTACCTCGGGAGGTCTTCCTGTTTGCAGATTTACTTTTGGGACTACGAAGCGGTACCTCGGAAGATCCCCCTGTTTGCATATTTTCTTTTGGAACTACGAAGCGGTACCTCAGGAGATCCTCCGGTTGCATATTTACTTTTGGGATTACGATGAGGTACCTCGGGAGATCCCCCTATTGTGCATTTGCATTTGGGGCTATGAGGTGGTATATCGGGAGCGCTGCTGTTGTTTACCTCTATTTACAGTGCTGTTACCTTTCTGAAATTTCTTATTGATCATTTCTCAGTCATTTCATTGTATTATTATATTTTCTTGCCTCATTTCCTTATCCCTACAGGTCCCTGACCTCACATCGTCACTACTCTACCGAGGTTAGGCTTGGCACTTACTGGGTACCGTTGCGGTGTACTCATACTACACTTTTGCATATCGTTTTGTGCAGATCGAGGTTCTTCCTACTAGACCAGATACCAGTGAGTTGGACCGCAT